GAACTCTTCATATATACACCATATTACAAATGCATTATAATCTTAATGTTCTTCAATAATTAATGCATATTTGAATAAATCTGGCAAGTTTTTATGACAGCCACCATTTAAATGTTTATATTTCATATAATCTTCTTATTAAAAAAATAAATAAAAGTGTAATTTAAGTGTTTGTATAGCTACAAAACAGTTCATTATTACCCTCATATTAGGCTGATGAAGCCTATAGCCTACAACTAGACTCCCAGTTTACAGCATTAGTTAAGAGATTTGATTTCCTTGAGAAAAATTGCCATTTATTGGAACTGATATCCAAAATAATCAATATTGAATCGAATCGAAACCGAATCGCATTGCAAGCTTGTGAATCGAAATCGAATCGAATTGTGAAATTTGTCTCAATACCCAGCCCTATTATTCGTAAATACTGACAGAATTTTCATTTTTGGGTGAACTATCCCTTTAACTGCATTTTGCTGTAAATAACAATTTAGTTTTTACAGAATCAACCAAAACGGAGGAATGTTTTGGTGGTGCACTGATAAAAAATATTGATATTAGCCATTATAACGCACCAGCTGGACTGAGTCTTGTCTGTCTTTTGTGTTTGGTTAACAGGAGCAGGAACTGTATCAGAAAGAAGGTCTGGGAGTCAATGAAGTCCATTACGTGGATAATCAGGACTGTATAGGTCTGCGTCTCATTAAACATGACTCTACGCCACACATATATGATGTTTGCGCTCTTATAAACCAGAAGGCTGAATCTTTTATCCGCCTAAATGTGCTTGAAGAGTGTGTGAGTTTGCCTTTGTGTTTGCGTCTGTTCAGACTTGGTAGAGTCGAAGTTGGTTGGCATCTTGGACATCTTGGATGAAGAGAACCGGCTACCTCAACCCAGTGACCAGCACTTCACTGAGACCGTCCACAGCAAACACAAGGAGCATTTCCGCCTGACTGTGAGTCGCGCTTCCCAAAGCCAGCGTCTCGCTCCGTGTTTAGAGGCTTTAGTTTTTATATCGCACGTGTCTCACAGGTTCCCAGGAAGTCCAAGCTGGCAGTGCACAGGAACGTCAGAGACGACGAGGGCTTCATCGTAAGACACTTCGCTGGAGCAGTGTGCTATGAAACGGTACACACACACACATTTAGGGAGGACATTGCATAGACTTCCATTGATTTTATATACGGTCAGTTTAACCCAAGCTCTATCCATAAACCTGCTCATTACAGAAACATGTGCAAAACACTAGATTAAAAGAAACACATTTTTTCTTTTGTCCACTTTCAAACACTTCTGTCCTGATTTCTTCGAGGGAAGATGGGCGGGTAAATGAATGGGTTTTTGCAGATCTTTCGATCTAATGGACAACTCACGCAGTTTATATAAACTTGACCGGACGACGGGAAAACACGCAGACAGTGTCAGCTTTAGTTTAACTGACACAAGACCAGCCGAACGCTGTGAGCGTGTGTTAGAAATCAGGAAGGAATGGAGAGAGAACCTTTTGTTTGGTACGTTTTTCATCTTCAAACCAAACTTGAGTGTTCAGCCGACAAAGTTTAAATCCCGTCTGGCTAGCGCTCTTCCCATAATGTTCCCGCATTAGGTCAGTAGACGGAGAGTAGACGGTGTTTTGTGGATGTTTGAACACATTCGACCACATGAGTGTTTACTCTACGCAAGCAATCCGGTCTAATGTGTTCTCTATGGAAGCTCGTTTCCGCCACTGAATAAAAAAATAAAATAAATAATTGGGACTTTTTATCTCACAGTTCTGACTTTTTTTCTTACAATTTCGAGTTTATATCTCGCAATTCTGACTTTATTTCTCAGAATTGTGAGATAAAAAGTCAGAATTGCGTGATCAAAAGTCGCAATTGCGTGTTATAGTCAGAATTGTGAGATATAAAGTCAGAATTGCGTGTTATAAAGTCAGAATTGTGTGATAAAAAGTTGCAATTGCGAGTTATAAAGTCAGAATTGCGTGATATAAAGTCATAATTGCGAGATATAAAGTCAGAATTGTGAGATATAAACTCGCAACTGTGAGAAAAAAAGTCCGAATTGGGTGATATAAAGTCAGAATTCTGAGAAAAAAAGACAGAAGTGCGACTTTTTATTTCACAATTCTGAGAAATAAAGTCAGAATTGCGAGATAAAAAGTCAGAATTGCGTGTTAAAAAGTCGCAATTGCGAGTTATAAAGTCAGAATTGCGAGTTATAAAGTCAGCATTGTGAGATATAAAGTCAGAATTGCATGCAATGTCAGAATTGCGTGTTACAAAGTCAGAATTGCGTGTTATAAAGTCAGAATTGCGAGTTATAAAGTCAGAATTGCGAGATATAAAGTCAGAATTGTGAGATATAAAGTCAGAATTGTGAGATATAAAGTCAGAATTGTGAGATATAAAGTCAGAATTGTGAGATATAAAGTCAGAATTGCGAGTTATAATGTCAGAATTGTGAGATATAAAGTCAGAATTGTGAGATATAAAGTCAGAATTGCGAGATATAAAGTCAGAATTGCGAGATATAAAGTCAGAATTGTGAGATATAAAGTCATAATTGTGAGATATAAAGTCAGAATTGCGAGTTATAAAGTCAGAATTGCGTGATATAAAGTCAGAATTGTGAGATATAAAGTCAGAATTGCGAGTTATAAAGTCAGAATTGCGAGATGTAGTCAGAATTGCGAGTTATTAAGTCAGAATTGTGAGATATAAAGTCAGAATTGTGAGATATAAAGTCAGAATTGCGTGATATAAAGTCAGAATTGTGAGATATAAAGTCAGAATTGCGAGTTATAAAGTCAGAATTGCGAGATATAAAGTCAGAATTGCGAGTTATAAAGTCAGAATTGCGAGATATAAAGTCAGAATTGCGAGTTATAAAGTCAGAATTGTGAGATATAAAGTCAGAATTGCGAGTTATAAAAGTCAGAATTGCGAGATATAAAGTCAGAATTGCGTGATAAAAAGTCACAATTGCAAGTTATAAAGTCAGAATTGCGAGATATAAAGTCAGAATTGCGAGATATAAAGTCACAATTGCGAGATATAAAGTCAGAATTGCGTGATATAAAGTCACAATTGCGAGTTATAAAGTCAGAATTGCGAGATATAAAGTCACAATTGCGAGTTATAAAGTCAGAATTGCAAGTTATAAAGTCAGAATTGCGAGATATAAAGTCAGAATTGCATGATAAAAAGTCACAATTGCGAGTTATAAAGTCAGAATTGCGAGATATAAAGTCAGAATTGCAAGATATAAAGTCAGAATTGCTTGATATAAAGTCAGAATTGCATGATAAAAAGTCACAATTGCGAGTTATAAAGTCAGAATTGCGTGATATAAAGTCACAATTGCGAGTTATAAAGTCAGAATTGCGAGTTATAAAGTCAGAATTGCGAGATATAAAGTCAGAATTGCGAGATATAAAGTCAGAATTGCGTGATATAAAGTCACAATTGCGAGTTATAAAGTCACAATTGCGAGTTATAAAGTCAGAATTGCGAGATATAAAGTCAGAATTGCGAGATATAAAGTCAGAATTGCGAGATATAAAGTCAGAATTGCGAGATATAAAGTCAGAATTGCATGATAAAAAGTCACAATTGCGAGTTATAGTCAGAATTGCGAGATATAAAGTCAGAATTGCAAAGATATAAAGTCACAATTGCGAGATATAAAGTCACAATTGCGAGATATAAAGTCAGAATTGCGAGATATAAAGTCAGAATTGCGAGTTATAAAGTCAGAATTGCGAGATATAAAGTCAGAATTGCGTGATATAAAAGTCAGAATTGCAAGTTATAAAGTCAGAATTGCATGATAAAAAAGTCACAATTGCGAGTTATAAAGTCAGAATTGCGAGATATAAAGTCACAATTGCGAGTTATAAAGTCAGAATTGCAAGTTATAAAGTCAGAATTGCGAGTTATAAAGTCAGAATTGCATGATAAAAAGTCACAATTGCGAGTTATAAAGTCAGAATTGCGTGATATAAAGTCAGAATTGCAAGATATAAAGTCAGAATTGTGTGATATAAAGTCAGAATTGCAAGATATAAAGTCAGAATTGTGTGATGTAAACTCGCAACTGTGAGAAAAAAAAGTCAGAATTGTGTGATATAAAGTCGCAATTCTGAGAAAAAAAAAGACAGAAGTGCGACTTTTTATCTCACAATTCTGACTTTATATCTCGCAATTCTGACTTTTTAACACATTATTGCGAGTTTATATGTCGAAATTCTGACATCTTTTCTCAGAATTGTGAGATATAAACTCGCAATTGCGACTTATTAGGCCAATTCTAAGGGGAAAAAAGACTCGGAATAGTTTAAATCTCTCAATTCTGACTTTATATCACGCAATTGCGACTTTATATCACGCAATTCTGACTTTTTATCTCGCAATTCTGACTCCATCTCACAATTCTGAGAAATAATGTCAGAATTGCGAGAAGTAAACTCGCAATTGTGATAAAAAAAAGTCGCAATTACCTTTTATATTTCTCATTCTATGGCGGAAACAAGCTTCCATATTTCTCAGCTACCTCTGGAAGTGGACAAGCTCAAAACATGTTACACCCTGTTTACACCTCTATTACACTTTTTATCCAATTGGCCAAAACACATCATAATAACCAGAGGTAAACAGGGCCTTAGACTACTAAAACTGATATTAAAATGTATAAAAAATAAATGAATGCCTGCAAGTGAAAGTGAAAAGCAACCCGGTGTTATCAGTAATACTGTTGTTGTCACAGTTAATTTACCGTTGTGAACATTTCCTCACCGTAACATTCCTAGAATCAACACTCTCTTAAAATCACTACTTCACTAACTCTTGTGTTCATTTATTCCAGATAAATTCTGTTGATCTGCTCCCTAGAACAGTGTATTGTGATACAAGTATGTGATAGACGTTTTTTCCCCATCTTTCAGACTCAGTTTGTGGAGAAGAATAACGACGCTCTCCACATGTCGTTGGCGTGTCTGGTGAGCGAGTCGAAGGATAAGTTCATCGGCGAGCTCTTCGAGAACTCCAACCACTCCAAAGACACCAAGCAGAAGGCTGGCAAACTGAGCTTCATCAGTGTAGGCAACAAATTCAAGGTCAGTCTCAAAATCATTTCTGCTCACCGCTGTTTGAAGGGAAAAATGAACCCATTTGTATGGTCATAAAAAGTCTGAAATATCCTAAAGTCGCCCTGTAATCATATTTGATCACCAAAATGACAAATGTAAATGTTTAATAATGCATAATTCTATTTAAATAATGCCTTAAAATAGCTTGAATGTAACCCGACACCCTTGCCTCATTTAGTATACACGGTTCTATAAATATGCAAATGAGCCCCGCCTCCACTCATTCACTCAGCTCAGAGATCCACTCGTTCACCTGATTGGTTACAAGGTAGTGTGTGACGTCAGAAACGCCAGCGAGTGTTTTTGAGACTGTCTTTGGTTCGCTGCAGTTTTAAGGAGAAAACACTCAGCAATGCTGTCGACTTATGAATTTACACGTGGTGTGTCTTAAAGCGTATTAAAAACACCACATAGACACATGAACAACATTAAAAACTGGATAACAAAAGTCTTCATGTCATTTAAGAAGTCTTGAATTTGGGCATGTATTAGCAGTAATGGTGAAACGGGAACACACTGATCGTCCTGAAACCGCATTGATTTCTCTCATTTTAAAAGTAATATCAAGTATTATTTTATTTCGATCTGCAGTCTAATAAAAAATGCTTTGCACCAGCAGCGTCTAGTAGAAGAGTGAAGACATTTCAAAATAAGAGTCCCATTGTATTTTGGCCTTCATAATTAAAAGTCCTGCATTATGCATCATTTAGTTTTTATGTATATGATTGGATTGCTGACGTTTGATTGAAAGGAAACTCTCTCTGGGCCGACCCGTTACAGGAAGGAAAGACTAAGAACATTATTTAACACATCAGTAAAATAATATTGATCAACCTCTAAACTCATATGCACTGATATGTTAGTATGCATATATTGAAAACACATCTGGAGTGTGTTAAACGTGCAGTTACACAGTTTTACAGCAGTATGTGAGCCTGTTGAATAAAGTCAAAGAGTCTGAAATACATGCTTTAATTTGAGGTTGTTCTGTACGGACATGCAGTATTAATGTTATTTGTGCTGGTCTTAAATTTGATGTTTGTTTGTTTTTTCTCTCTCACAGACGCAACTGAATATTCTTCTGGAAAAGCTGCACAGTACTGTGAGTGCAGTTTTGTTGTGATTTTGCCTTAATGTTATATATCATCGCTGTGGGGCAGAAACAATCTTTACATTTGGTCACTCTTTTCGTCTGTCTCTGGGTTTTGCAAATATTTAAAGGGATAGTTCACTTTGAAATTAATTTTAGGTATGTTTTAGTTTACCTCAAGGGCATCCAAGATGTAGGTGTCTTTGTTTCCACTGTAGTTTCAATTTTTATATTTTATATCTGTCAGTCATATAATGGAGGTCTATGGTCACCACCTCAAAGAGCATGCACAGAGAAGTCCAAATTAAACATGATTTAATGACTCGTGAATGTAAGTACACATTGATGGGCTGAGACTCGAAACGAGCGGTTTGTGTGAGAAAACGAAGAGTATTAATATCGTTTTTACCTCTTGTAACTACAGCCATGTCCAAGTGATCTGAGGGCGCGGGTGCTTCGATCTGTGCAAGCACAGGAAAGCACCGGAAGTGATCTCTTGCGCGGTTGCGAAAAAAATTCAACGTTGTCTGTTGATATACAGGAAATCGCAACGGAAGACGATTTCGATATATCTAAATATGTTTAGATTTTCACATTGACAGGTAACACTTCTGAAATCTCTGTGTAAACAATGAGTGACGTACATGCGCGAGAGATCACTTCCGGCGCTTGCACAGACTGATGCGCCCACGCCTTCTGATCACTTGGACGTGATTTTCTCACACAAACCGCTCGTTTCGTGTCTTAGGCCATTAATGTGTCCTTACATCTACGAGTCATTGAATCATGTTTAATTTGGACTTCTCTGCGCATGCTCTTTGAAGTGGTGACCATAGACCTCCATTATATGACTGACAGACAAGAACGGTTTGACTTAAAAATATAAAAATTGAAACTACTGTGGAAACAAAGACACCTACATCTTGGATGCCCTTGAGGTAAGCTAAAACATATCAAAAATTAATTTCAAAGTGAACTATCCCTTTAACAGTGAAACTGGTAACCTCATTGGACCCTCAAACTATCAGTCAAACTCCACCCACGTCCGTCATGAAGGAAGTGCCACACACAGTTTGGAGCGTCACTGCTTGTTTGCTGGTCAAAAACCTCACAACCTAATATGAGCTTGATTTTGGTAAAATGTTGATAAAATAATGACACATGCAAGTGTACCAACTTTGACAACGCAATGTTTATTGATATTATTTAAACAATACAGTAAAATGTTATTTAGAATGAATTATTTAGGAAAATTCACTTCCTGAAAGGAGCAGTGTTGACAGTGATGGTGTATTACACGTATATGAGCTCAAGATTGTTTGAAGGTGATGATGTGTTTTTGTGATTGACAGCTGGTAATGATTGTGCTGCTGTGTTTCAGGGTTCAAGTTTTGTCCGTTGTGTGAAGCCCAATCTGAAGATGGTCAGCCGGCAGTTTGAGGGGGCTCAGATCCTGTCTCAACTACAGTGCTCAGGTACACACACACACACACACGTGGACCGGTTTTACAGACACACTTTGTTTTAATAGCAGAGTTGTCAGGCTGACAGCGTGACTGTAACATGTGGAGCGCACTCTTGTGTGTCCGAATCAAACGCATCATGACTCATCATCATCATCATCATCATGTTCTCTCAGGGATGGTGTCGGTCCTGGATCTGATGCAGGGCGGCTTCCCCTCGCGAGCGCCCTTCCACGAGCTCTACAACATGTACAAGCAGTACATGCCCTCCAAACTGACCCGACTCGACCCGCGCCTCTTCTGCAAGGTGTGTGTGTGTGTGTGTGTGTGTGTGCCAGCGCACACACACCTGCTGGATGAACCTTCTCTAGAGTCTTCATAAATTACAAGCGTTCACATTGTTCTTCCTCTCCTCCACAGGCTCTGTTCAAAGCTCTCGGCCTGAACGAAAACGATTATAAATTTGGTTTGACGAAAGTTTTCTTCAGACCTGGAAAGGTGATGTATTTTTATATATCATTTTATTTTTTATCCATCCATCCATCCATCCATCTATCCTTCCTTTAATCCACCCTTCCTTCCTTCCTTCCTTTAATCCACCCATCCATCCTTCCTTCCTTTTATCCTTCCATCATTCCTTCCATCCTTCCTTTTATCCTTACTTCCTTCCATCCATCCATCCATCCTTCCATTTATCCTTCCTTTTATTCATCCTTTTATTCATCTATCCTTTTATCCTTCCATCCATCCTTCCTTTTATCCATCATTTTATTCATCTATCCTTTTATCCATCCATCCATCCTTCCTTTTATCCTTCCATCCATCCTTCCTTTTATCCATCATTTTATTCATCTATCCTTTTATCCATCCATCCATCCTTCCTTTTATCCTTCCATCCATCCATCCTTTAATCCATCCATCCTTCCTTCCTTTTATCCATCCTTTTATTCATCTATCCTTGTATCCTTCCATCCATCATTCCTTTTATCCATCCTTTTATTCATCTATCCTTTTATCCATCCATCCATCCTTCCTTTTATCCTTCCATCCATCCATCCTTTAATCCATCCATCCTTCTTCCTTTTATCCATCCTTTTATTCATCTATCCTTTTATCCTTCCATCCATCCTTCCTTTTATCCATCCTTTTATTCATCTATCCTTTTATCCTTCCATCCATCCTTCCTTTTATCCATCCTTTTATTCATCTATCCTTTTATCCATCCATCCATCCTTCCTTTTATCCTTCCATCCATCCATCCTTTAATCCATCCATCCTTCCTTCCTTTTATCCATCCTTTTATTCATCTATCCTTGTATCCTTCCATCCATCCTTCCTTCCTTTTATCCATCCTTTTATTCATCCATCCATCCATCCTTTTACTCATCTATCCTTTTATCCTTCCATCCATCCTTCCTTTTATCCATCCTTTTATTCTTCCATCCATCCTTCCTTTTATCCATCCTTTTTTTCATCTATCCTTTTATCTTTCCATCCATCCTTCCTTCCTTTTATCCATCCTTTTATTCATCTATCCTTTTATTCTTCCATCGATCCTTCCTGTTATCCATCCTTTTATTCATCTATCCTTGTATCCTTCCTTCCATCCATCCTTCCTTCCTTTTATTCATCCTTTTATTCATCCATCCTTCCTTCTTTTTATCCATCCTTTCATTCATCTATCTTTTTATTCTTCCATCCATCCTTCCTTCCTTTTATTCATCTATCCTTTTATCCTTCCATGCATCCTTATTTTTATCCTTTAATCCATCCATCCTATCTTCCTTTTATCCATCCTTTTATTCATCCATCCTTTTATCCACCCATCCTTCCTTCCATCTTTACTGTGTCTCATGAAGATAAATGCGCAGGTCAGATTTGACCCAAAAATAAGAAGAAACTGTTTGTATATAGAAAAGTCTAACACCATAGTGCGCCGCACATCTTCATCAGATGAATGTTAATAGCACAAGTTTATATCTCAATAGCACGATATCCTTTCTGACATTTATTTTTTTCTATGAATATGGAACGACTCTGATTGATTGAATCCTGTTATGTCTTTATGTGTCGTGAATATCCTTTTTTTCCTGATTGTAAGTTAGGAATGCTTGATTGTGATCCCGTGCCCATGAATATCCCCCATAAAGCTCTTGCAGACGAGTGACTGACTGATGTTGCTCTTGTGTCAGTTTGCAGAGTTTGATCAGATCATGAAGTCCGATCCGGATCATCTGGCCGAACTGGTGAAGCGTGTGAATAAATGGCTGATCTGCAGCCGCTGGAAGAAGGTGCAGTGGTGCGCCCTGTCCGTCATTAAACGTACGTAGACTCCTACAGAGGACGACAAATCTCTGGAAATTAAAAAGAAGGGGAAAATGTCCATCCTTTGTTTAGATTTAGTCTCTGCACACTTTGGACTTTTATTTGACTGGGATGATTTTAAACACGATTGAAGCGGCCCCCTTTTATGGTGTTCACTTGTTGGCTGCTTTTAAATATGAATACTATGAATGAAAAAATAAATACAGAAATGAAGAAGAATTCACGGACTAACCCTCAGTTGTTCATTGTTGCTCTGTCAGTGAAGAACAAGATGCTGTACCGAGCCACGGCGTGTATCCAGATGCAGAAGACGGTTCGCATGTGGCTGTGCCGGAGGAAACACAAACCACGGTGGGCGGCACCTCCTCTCCTCTATAGACGGGCTTTATTCACTTCAGCTCATGTTTACACTGATGTGTTTACAAGAGAAGTCTACTGTAGATGCCCACATTTACTGCTAATGACGATTAACACTTTACTAAATGTTTAATTAGTTAACGTGAACTAACACTAATCAGTACTACTACAGCATTTATTCATCTCAGTTAATGTTAAAGGGGTGGTTCAGGACTTTGAACGTCGAGCCTGGGTGTTATTTATCAGTGGAGAAAGAAAACAAATCATCCATAGTTCGTCAATGCTAGGCTAGCGCGACTGCTAACAGTTTTACCCACTCCACAGTACACCATATGCAAATCAGTTATAACGCCAGACTCTCGATGCAAATGTCCGTTGAGAGAACAATGTAAGAAATCAATAATGTAAGAACACACCCCGGCTAACTTGGAAATGAAGCCTGATGTCCAGAATCCTGAACCACCCCTTTAATTTCTACATTTACTGATACAGGTTTTAGTTACACTTTAGTTCAGGGTCCAATTCTCACTATTAACTAGTTGCTTTACTTATTAGCATGCTTATTACTACGATATTAGTACTCTTAAAGCACATATTAATGCCTTATTCTGCATGAGCATATTCTACAGCAATACCTAAACTTACTAACTATTAATAAGCAGTAATTAGGAGTTTGAGGCAAAAGTTGTAGTTAATAGTGAGAATTGGACCCTAATCTAAAGTGACCCATTTTTTAACCTGTAAGTTAATGCACTGTGAACTAACACGAACGTTAATAAATGCTGTAAAAATACACTGCTTGTTGTTCATGTTAACTAATGTATTAACTAAAGTTAACAAGGGAGACCTTATTGTAAAGTGAGACCAACATTTAAACTGTTATCATAGGACTAACACTAAGGAATATTGGCATTAGATTACTTGGATAGAATCATTTAACCTGTCCATGTAAAGTTAAATACAATGCATTTCATATATTTGTTTATTTCATGTTGGGTTGGGTTTTACCGTTTTCGAATCAATTCATCCGATTTTTTTGATATTTAGAAGAATATCAGTATACAGACAGTTTCTCGTCTCATTGACTTCCATAGTATATTTTTTTTCCTACTATGGAAGTCAATGAGACCAGAAACTGTCTGGTTACTGTTATTCTTTTAAATATCAGAAAATCGGCTGAATGGATTTGAAAACGGTGAAACTCAATTGTTTAACTCTGGGGGAGTGGTAAAATGAGCCTATTTCCAAAAAAAGTGGAGTATCCCTTTAATGTACATGTGGGTGCAGTTTGCTTCATGTTATATATATATATATATATTCTATTATATATATGTATACCTATACATATTATATATGTATATATATATGTGTATGTATGTATATGTATTATGTATGTGATTTATATATCCCTGACATGTATCTTAAAAATTTAATTAATCAAAAGTGACAGTAAATACATTTTATATACAGTATAATACAATATTATATATATATATATATATATATATATATATATATATATATAATATTGTATTACGTAATACAATATTATATTAATATAATAATACACTACTGTTCAAAACATTGGGGTCAGATTTTTTTTTTCCATTCTTTTAAATATATACACACACACACACACACATATGTATGTGTGTGTGTATATATATATATATATATATATATATATATATATATATATATATACATACATGCATACACACATATATATATATATATATATATATATATATACATATATATATATGACATATGTACGTGATTTATACATCCCTTACATATATCTTGACAGTAAAGACATTTATAATTACCATTTCAAATAAATGCTGTTCTTTTGATTTAAAACTCTTTCTGTTCATCAAGGAATCCTGAAAGAAATATGCAGCAGAAAAACTGTTTTTAAACATTGATAATAATCTTAAATGTTTCTTGAGATCATCATATTAGAATGATTTCTGAACTGTTTCACAATTGGTACAGTTTTTACAGTTTACTTGATCATAGGAACATATTATAATTTGTTATATATTTACATAGAAAACAGTTGTTTTACATTGTAATTATTTCACACTATTACAGTTTTGTGTTTTTTGATTTCAAATAAATGCAGCCTTGGAAAAAGTCTATCCGAACCCAAACTTTTGAACGGTGGTGTATTTGGAATAATTTCACCCTGTAGAACTGGTGAAATAATGGTATGGGCGTGAAATTACACACGGCAGCATTGATGTAAGAGTGTGTGTCTGTGTGTGTCAGGATCGACGGGCTGGTGAAGGCTCGTAACCTGAAGAAGAGTATGGAGAAGTTGAATCAGGTGGTGTCCGGACTCAAGGAGGGGAAACAGGAAATGAGCAAACACATGCAGGAACTAGATTCCTCCATCAACGCCCACATTCTCAAGATAAAGGTGTGTGTGTGTCTATCTTGAGCAGCTGGAATTCCCTGAAACCCATTTAGATAGTGAAGTGTGTGTGTCACCGTAGAGCACCGTAATGGGCCGCGTGGACATCGATCACGAGCACCAGGCTCTGGTCACTCGCTCGCAGCAGCTGCTCAGCACCATGCAGAAGAAGAAGCAGGAGGAGGAGGAGATGGAGCGCCTGAGACGCATCCAAGAGGAGATGGAGAGAGAGAGGAAGAGGCGTGAAGAAGAGGAAGAGAAGCGCAAACAAGAGGAAGACGATCGACGCCTGTGAGTAGACACGTCATTTATTCTCCTTCATCACGGTCCAAATCTGTGAAACAGAAAAGGTGATTTTTTTTTAAAGCATTTACTAGGTATTTGCTCTATAATAAAAGCGAATGAAGACCATAAACTATCATAAAAGCTCCGTGATACTTTCTGAAGTCACCTGATAGCTGAAGAACAGAGCCAAAGTAAAGGGGGAACAGATTTTAACAGAAGTTGTCATAAAATGAAATTTCACACTATCTATTTTCTAAATGAAAGTTCGATTTTATAGCGACATTTTAATCTATACATTTCATTTTTTAAGTAGTTTTGACCTCGTAATTTCCAATCAAAATCTCATTACACGATCTTCCAATCACTTCTCCAATCATTTAGTCCACTTAAACTCTAAGATGGAACTCTAAGAGTCGTGTCTTTTCCTATAATTTCTTTTCCGTCTCAATACTGAAGGATGGATCTGTCGGGACATCGGTTCCATCATTTAACCCTCAGGTGCTCTTCGGTCATTTCTGACCGAAAAATTTTCTGTTTTGAAATTTTAAAAATCACGGCTTCATCGGAGTGTTACGAAACTTGGTGACTTTTATGGCATTGGGTATGTGAACACACAAAAAAATTGAGGTCATGATCCGAGCAGGCTAAGTGGTCGTACAAAAAATAGTCACACTTTTGCTCTTTGGTCAAAAATGACCGACCCATAGGAAATGAATGGGAAATTGACAAAAACACAAAAACTTTGAGAATTTTTGTGTGTACAATCTACCAATCGGTGCAGAAAAAAAGTGCTCAGCATTGAAGGGGTGACACTCTAAAATATCAAGAGTGCAAAACAGACATACCCACACATACACACACACATACAAACACACTTTTATACACATACACACCAATACATTTTGATTACAAAAAGTATGTTTTGAATTTTTAAAAATCACAGCTTCATCGCGATGTTACGAAACTTGCTGACTTTTATGGCATTATGTATGTGAACACACAAAAAAATTGAGGTCATGATCTGAGCATGCTAAGTGGTCTTAAAAAAAAATTGTCACACTTGTGGTCTTTGGTCAAAAATGACCCCATAAGGAAATGAATGGGAAATTGTAAAAAAAAAAGAAAAAAAAATTGTGAATATTTGGTTTTTGTAATTTTTTTATAAGAAATAGTTTTTGAGATTGTTTCAACTATATATACAAATCCACCAACAACAAAAAAAAAATGTGTTCATAAACAGCTGGGGAATTCGCATGCCTCTCAATAGAGAGCTGTACATGCCATCAAGTGGTTACACCATGATTCTACGCTTTTTCTCTATACTGTAACCAGATGGTGCTAATTTTCTTCAAAAAAAATTTTTTTTTCTGAAGGCCTAGACTCTATATATAACTAAAATACTGCATTAATATCTTTTTGAAAAAAATAATATATATATAGGAAATAATATATATTTTTCCATGGCAAAAATAAACCATAAATATTAATAAATTCATTTAAATTGTCTCAAAATACTAAATAAAAAAGAATAAATATTATAGAACAAAAATAAATTGCATTGGTTTTACTGGGATGGAGAAAGTTTCATTTTTAGGTGTCCGGTCACTTTTGACCGGGAAGATAACAAGTGTGACTCCGAAACGAAGAGCACCTGAGGGTTAAAAGTAATCTTGTCTCCAGCTCAGCTGAAGCTTGCATGTGTCGGTCTGTTTTAGGAAAGCGGAGATGGAGCAGAAGAGAAAACAGGAAGAGGAGGAGCGTAAGAAAAGAGAGGAGGAGGAGAGGAGACTGCAGGTGAGCTCAGCGTTTTACTCCACATTATTCGTCTGCATTGTTTGCTTCCTGTTAGTGATGGGCGATACCATTTTTTTTTTTTTTAATACGATACCTATAATTTCAAGGCCAGTATCCTCGATACCAATACCTTTTTAAATTTGAAAATGTCTTAAATTATTGAATTACTAAGATTAAAATGGGTAATGATACCCATTAAACGTCATACTTGAAAGGCATTTTAACATTCAATATGCCTTAATTGGAATGAAATAAAAATAAATATGTTAATAAAAATATAAAATAAATTATTATAAATATATAATTGTGTATTATATAAAATATTATTGGCCTATTTGAACTATGATCACTGTAATGTCCATTTCCACTGCCAGTGAAAGGCTGTTGCACCAATTAAATGTGACCTTTTTATTCTGACAGTGTACGATTTATATTAAAATCAGTTATAGAATAGAACTTTTAATATTCAGTTTAAAACAATTTAATTGCACAAAGTATGTTGGCCACAATTTGTCTATTGTGAAATAGGTTAAGCATCGTTTGAATCACTGATCTGTCTAATGACGATATATAGATTAGTGGTTGTCATTTGATCTAATTGAAATGACGTGTTCCCTGTCAGTCCATGTGTGTTTGCACACCACTGTCCACACAGATATCATACGTCATCGGCGCTTCTGTAAAGTTTGCTCACTGGTGAATGACACATGATGTAATCTAAAAATGTTGTTTCTGGTGTTTTGGAGGAGGCGAGGCTTTGGAAAGCGATTTCAATGCTATCATGCTAAAGTTAGGATTTCTCAAATTACTGATTGCACCTTTAAAGTGTAACTTCCTTGATTTTCAACCTGCTTTGTATTAATAATAATAATAATAATTGTCTATATAATTATAATATATAATTATATATATTATTTAAATGAAATAATTAACTTTGTATTGTCACAGTGTCAGTAGTAATTGTAAATCAACAATGTTCATTGAAAGTATCAAAATAAACAATGTTCATTTACAAATGTTACCAAGAAATTCACATTTACTCGTCAGCAAAAATACTTTTAACGGCTTTTGTGAAAATATGGAAGTAAAATAATGGCAAATGTTTTGAAACATTGATCATTCGTACATGTTTAAAAACTAGTTCAAATGTGGCCATCGTGAACAACATAATTGATGGTCTCATTTAGACAATTATACTGTTTCCCTTTCATATTTCACTTCCAAAATATTCACACTGATTAAAAACACAACCTATAATATTCAACAGGCAATAATCGGTCCATTTTATTTCACTTCCACAAGTTCAGTGGTTCAAATATGACAGTAAGTTCAATGTTGACATCCAGGAACTGCAGGAAAAGCAGTAGATTACGGAGCATAATCTCCATCTGCTGTTAGATGACCTCACCAGCAGGGGGTGAGAGCAACTGTTAGAGCAAGCCATTCATTCATTCATTCACAAAATATATTAAGCTTGTGTTCAGCGCCTTATTTAAGGCATTTAACCAAAAACCCATTAAAAAAAAAAACATTGATTTTTGGATGATGGAACAGGAAGTGAGAACTCATTTATTGGTTTTGGCCTACAAAAATACATCATCACTCCAACACTGTATAGCAGAGGACGGATCCCGAACCTGCTCTCCCGAGTCTACTCTTGTGTTTGGTGCTGATTAACACCTTTGCTAATACCCAAATCTGACCGGATGTTTGAGTGTAGTTGTGTAATGTGTAGTTGCGCAGCACTGTGTGTACCAGGGTAGTCTGTCTGAGCTGACAAATCACATAATATTAGGATGTCCTGTTACTTTATCCGCTGCAGTAAAAGAGCTGGGTGTTATATTAGATTGCAACTTGTCTTTCGGAAATCATATTTCATATGTTACAAGAACAGCCTTTTTCCACCTTAGAAACATTGCTAAGCTATGTAACATGCTATCTATCTCTGATGCAGAAAAATTAGTTCATGCATTCATGACCTCGAGACTAGATTACTGTAATGCTTTATTAGCCGGTTGTCCTGCATCCTCAATAAACAAGCTACAGTTAGTACAAAATGCAGCTGCTAGAGTTCTTATATGATCATATTTTCTTGATCTAGTAACACCGATTCAATCATCACTTCATTGGTTACCTATAAAGTTGTTCCATATTAATTACAAGGTATTGCTTTTGACTTATAAAGCTCTAAATGGTTTAGCTCCAGTCTATTTAACGGATCTTCTATCGCCCTACAATCCATCGCGCTCTTTAAGATCACTAAATTCGAGGCTTCTGGTCACTCCTAGGATATCCAGATCCACCAAAGGAGGGAGAGCATTTTCACATTTAGCTCCGAAGCTCTGGAATAGCCTTCCTGATATTGTCCGTTGCTCAGACTCGCTCTCACAGTTTAAAACTAGACTAAAGACGCATTGTCACTACTCACTAGTCAAAATGTCTATTCTTGATATCAACAATTCAATTGTTACTAGTAAAAATGATCATTTTTAATATCACAAAATGTATTTCTGATATCAATATTATTTCAGATATCTAAAATGGCTTTCTTACTAGTAACAATCACGTTCATGATATCAGAAATGAGCATTGTCACTAGTGAAAATTGAATTATTGATATCAGAAATGAACATTGTTACTAGTAGCATTTCAATTGTGGATATCAAGAATAACATTTCAACTAGTAACAATTGAATTCTTGATATCAAAAATAAAGGTTTTTACTAGTAATAATTGTATTTCTGATATGTGAAATGGAATTTCAGCTGGTAAGAAATCAATTCTTGACAACAATTGGTTTTGAATGGCAGCCTATGGTGACATTTCACTAGTGAAAATACAATTGACCTTTCGCCGGCCCCTCCCACAAAATGGCCATTGTCCAATTACACATCATAGCAACCGTTACTGTGTGAGCTGTTCCGTCAAACAGTAAGCGGTGCGCCCACGGCGTTAGTAAATCGGACACATGATACCCCGAGAGATTGTCTGGAGAAGTTGTGTTTTTTCCCTTTCCAAAGCCCAAAACACAACGCAAACCGTGCCTAAGTTGTATTAAACAGTGTGGACGCCCCAATTCCAGTTAAATGTGTCGAACATGGTTAACTCGTCTCGCGTGCAGCGTGCGTGCGACTGAGATTAGTCAAAGAAGCACGGAGAAAGCAGATCAAGAGGATCCACAAAGGACTTACTGTACATTTTCTAAAGGGTTGTTGTTAACATACCATGATATTCTCTGGGAAAATGAGCAGCAGTCAGCTAAGTTAGCAGTGCAGCACCGTAGACTACAGTTTAGAGGACGTTCGCAACGGGGAAAGCATGAAGCTTACATGACAACATCAGTTCATATATCAATATCGTAACGAATAGAAATAACCTTAAATAACGTATGGTTCTCTGCCTCTTTCCGTCTCTTATGCATAACGTTAGTTACTTTTTAAACACGAAAATCGCATTCAGCATAAGCATGACACGCAATCGGTTGCTGTGGTAATGAACAACCTGCTTGTTAAAGCGAACGTGCTACTCCTGTATCGGAGGCAAACTGAATAAATATGCAGCGCAAGTTATATATTTCGAACTCCAAACAATTAGCCACTGAACCAGTTTATAAAATCTTCAAGGCTGTGCTGGTTGCATTTGAGGTAGCTTAGCATGGTCATGGGGTTTTTCTGATTTTTCTTGAGACTGGTAAGCATTAGCCTCAATAGTAGTCGTGTCTCATTCATTTCTTAATTTTATATTTGGAATAAATCCCTCCACCGCATAACGTAACCCCTTTTGCTTCGATCTTGCTTGATATCGCGGAGGTATTGCTCCAAAAAAGGTCACTGACACGCACGGGAATACCCTTTGCCGTCATGGCAATCTGTCGCGCTGCCCGTGTTTGACCATTTGTTTGACGGAGGTAGCAGCAGTAACTAAGGGGGGCGGGGCTCGGCGAAAGGCTAATTGTTGATATCAAGAATTCATATCCTGGAAATGAATAAAAGCTAAAACGGCTTGCCATACCCCGACTGAGCCTGGGTTCTCCCAAGGTTTTTTTTTTCTCCATCGGGTCACTTGATGGAGTTTTTCGGTTCCTTGCCACTGTTGCCTTTGGCTTGCTCAGTTGGGGATATTCAGATTAAATGACTCTACCAGAGCTATATAAATATATTTGACTTGAGCTACGCATGATTTGAGTGCTGAATATTATGTTGGTGTGACTTGTGCTCCTCAGGAGGAGATGGACCTGCAGCTGGAGGCCGAGAGGGAGCAGGAGACGTCCCGACAGGCGGTGCTGGAGCAAGAGCGGCGGGACAGAGAGCTGGCCCTGCGGATCGCTCAGAGCGAGGCCGAGCTCATCCCAGAGGAGACGCCTGTGGAAGCCGCATCGCGCAGGTGTGAAGCCGCCGCCAGCTGTCCAGAACGGGCCTTTACCCTAAACACACCCCACAGGACGAGCTTACCTCACACTCATTCACACATATTCAAACTCCCTACAGTACATGTACTTTACACATGCTTTTAAACATTAGAGAGTATTTGGTAACACTTTATTTGAAGGGGTGTGCATGAGACTGACTGACATGACACTGTCATAAACATGACATAACACCTGCCATGAACATGAAGGAGTCTTTATGAATGTTTATGACTGTTGTCATTAAGTGTCATTCGGTAAATTATGACACTTCTAATGCAAAGTTGACATTGTTTCAAATGTCTTTGTTATGACAACTTGACATTAACCAAGAAATCATGTCATAACAGGTCTAATTATCAAACTTAAAGAAGTTATTTAGCTTTGTGTTAACATTACATTACCCTGTCATATGTTATGGTTGGTTTTGACTTTGGCCGTCATGACACCATAATGCTGTCATGAATATTTGACTTGTCCTCAAGTAAAGTGGAACACATTGTACTAGTTATAAAGATGTCATTGAGGATTATTACACTGTCAAATGCTGTCAAACAACAGTGGCATTAATATTTCCCCTTACCTCAAGTAAAGTGGAACACGTTGGACTAGTTATAAAGATGGCAGGTTGACAGGTTATGATTTCTTGGTTAATGTCAAGTTGTCATGACAAAGACAGTTAATGTCAAGTTGTCATAACAAAGACATTTGAAACAATGTCAACTTTGCATTAGAAGTGTCATAATTTACCGAATGACACTTAATGACAACAGTCATAAACATTCATAAAGACTCCTTCATGTTCATGACAGGTGTCATGTCAGTCTTATGCACACCCCTTCAAATAAAGTGTTACCGAGTATTTTCCTACAAACACAGTCAATCATACAGCTACAGGTTAAAGGATTGTTCCGGGTTCAATGCAAGTTTAGCTTAGTGTAATGCTCTTATAATGGAAGTCAGCGGGGCAGGGATCAGTTTGTGCCGGAACAAGCCAGATCCGCCTCCTCATTTGGTGGAGTTTTTAAGTTGTGACGTGTGCACATATGCTCAGGAAAATTAGATATAACTAGAAATAACTTGCTAAATCCATGTTGAACGTATAAAAAGTTATTAAAGGAGTAGTTCACTTTAAAAAAAAACTTAATTACTTATTTAATGCTGATAATTTACTCACCCCCGTGTCATCCAAGATGTCCATGTCTTTCTTTCTTCAGTCGAAAAGAAATTAAGGTTTTTGATGAAAACATTCCAAGATTTTCTCTATATAATGGACTTCATTGGGAACCAAACGGTTCAAGGTCCAAAACACACTTTCAGTGCAAACTGAAAACTGTTCAAAGGGCTTTAAACGATGCCAGACGATGAATAAGGGTCTTATCAAGCGAAACGATCACTCATTTAATAAATAAATAACAAAGTTTAAGTTTTATAAGCTCAAATTCTCGCCTTGCTCTGTACTGCGATGCTCTCTTGTTCGAACTGGTTCATCAAAATCAACAAATCTTTTCATTGGTTGAATGAACCAAATGACTCAGAAAAATATTTGTTCATTTTGATGAACCAGTTCGAATAGGAGAGTCACGAACGCGCATCACAGAACAGAGCAAGGCGACCATTTGAGCTTATAAAACGTAAACTTTGTTATCTATTAACCCTTGTGCTGCATTAGATTTTTAACACCGTTGAGTGCATTAAGGACCAAAAATGGCCACATATTAAACATTGCCTAAAATGTTATATATTATTATTATTTTCCACTTTTACCAAGTTAAATCTTTTAACCAGCATCAGTCCTCATCATAACTACCAAAAATGTATTCAATTTCAGGATTTTAACCCTTTAATTACCAGTTTTGTTTGCGAAACCATCGATTTGTATAAGAGGAAAAAACACAAAAATTCAATTATTTTCAATAAACTAAATGCAAAGAGAAAACTTTAGATTTGGATTATCTTTGCAAAAAATCCCACTTAGCGCGTTAGAGACCAAAAATGGCCACCTATTAAACATTGCCTATTGCCTAAAATAAGGTGCATTTCCACCCATAGGGAATAAATATGTAGTGACGTCATCTGGTGGAATACACTATATAATGCAAATATAATGCTTTTGCTTCAAAATGAAAGGATGTTTGTGCAAAAATCATGTTTCATGTATTACTGACAGCCTCAGATTTAAACAACGTTTTAATGGGTTTCAATGGGCCATTTTTGGTCTTTATGGTGCTGAGTGTTACTATTTGATCTACACAGTGTGTGTTATACATATTTTGCAAAATGGGATCACATTTTTTACATGTATCCAAAAAGTCACAATTTTGCCAAATTTCATACCATTTGCATTAAAACCGGCCAAAATGGTCAAAGAAATTAAACTGCAAAAGACCAAAAATGTCCCTAATGCAGCATAAGGGTTAAATGAGCGATCGTTTTGCTTGATAAGACCCTTATTCATCGTCTGGAATCGTTTAAAGCCCTTTGAACAGTTTGCACTGAAAGTGTGTTTTGGACCTTGAACCGTTTGGTTCCCATTGAAGTCCATTATATGGAGAAAATCCTGGAATGTTTTCATCAAAAACCTTCATTTCTTTTCGACTGAGGAAAGAAAGACGTGGACATCTTGGATGACATGGGGGTGAGTAAATTATCAGCAAAAGTTTTTTGAAAAGTGAACTACTCTTAAGAAGTGGAAAAAAAGCAGCCACAAAGCGGTCCATGCCATGTGTTGGCAATGATCAACTGGATTTGACCGCTATTCGCATTTCCAACGCGTGACAAGCATTTAGAATAGATCAACTTTGATGCTCTTCTGTCATCTGTGAAACATGTTTCTGAAACATGTCATCGAAAGTTACTATAAAGATTTCTATTTAAAAACAAAACGCTGTTCTTTTGAACGGTCTATTCATCAGAGAATCCTGGAGAAATAAGCGTGTCAGGGTTTCCACAAAAATATGAAGTCACTGAGATGTAATAAAAAGAATGAAGTGAAATATAGTCGTTTGGCTTGTCTTGAACCTGGAGCACTCTTCTAAAGCACTGATGGTGGTGGGATTATGAGTCTTGTTGAATAACCGACGGACGCTTTGATTGGTCTCTCCGTCACATATGTAATGCTCTTCCTGTCTGTTTTTACAGTGTTGCACCACCACAAAAGCTCAAGAGCTTGACCATGTAGGTTACATTTTCACTGTCTCCTATTGAAATCTTGATTGTTTACTGCTAATTGTTAGATTAGTTTGGTAGATTTGTAAAACATTTGATGAAACTAGAATTTATTATTATCATCACCATGAGCTTAAATTAGGTCCAACTGGGAATCTTGGTGGTGAAATGCACAAATGGAGGGAATATTCTTTATTGCTGACGTCATATACTAACATATGTACGGTGCAATAATCATGTCCTTTAGGGAGGAAATGGCCAAGGAAATGTCTGATCTTCTGGCTCGGTGGGTAGAAGAGTTTGTTATCACTACAGAAATACACAACCGAAAATCTAAACCTTATCCACTGAAAAACAAACAAATGACCTTGATAAAGAGTCTAAAATAAATCTTCAGTCCAATCACACAAATGAATCCACGGTCACGTCTAGTTTTATTTCTTCTGTCCACGAATGAATGGGTTTCCTACTTGTAATTTGATTAATGCCAATTATTTTTTTTCTGAAATTGATCTTCCTGTTATTGGTGTCGTGATGTTTAAACTCTTCTCTTCTTCTACCGATCTCTCTTACTTCTCACAATTTAATGAATGTAGCCATTTTTGTCGCAAAATAAATGTTTATTACCATGTATTTGATTTAGTTATACATATAAGTGTGTTTATTGTTTGTAGTGTAAATGTATCTTCTGTAACTCCACTCTACTTTAAAGGAGTAGTTCACTTTAAAAAAAAACTTTTGCTGATAATTTACTCACCCCCATGTCATCCAAGATGTCCACGTCTTTTTTTTGTTCAGTCGAAATGAAATGAAGGTTTTTGATGAAAACATTCCAGGATTTTTCTTCATATAATGGACTTCAATGGGAACCAAACGGTTCAAGGTCCAAATGAGAGTTTAAAAAGGCCTTTAAACGACACCAGACGATTCGAGTCATGACTCGAAAAAAGATTTGTTCATTTTGATGAACGAGTTCGAACAGGAGAGTCATGAACGCGCATCACAGAAAAGAGCAAGGCGAGGATTTGTGCTTATAAAACTTAAACTTTTGTATTTATTTTTGAAATGAGCGATCGTTTCGCTTGATAAGACCCTTATTCATCGTCTGGAATCGTTTAAAGCCCTTTGAAGCTGCACTGAAACACTCATTTGGACCTTGAGCTGTTTGGTTCCCATTGAAGTCCATTATATGGAGAAAAATCCTGGAATGTTTACATCAAAAACCTTAATTTCTTTTCCACTGAAGAAAGAAAGACATGGACATCTTGAATGACATGGGGGTGAGTAAATTGTCAGCAAAAGTTTTTTTTTTAAAAAACACCTTTAAAGCTAGTTTCTGTCAAATGCCTAGTGTAAAATGCATCAGTATTTTCTCCTCATTTGGTTTTGTTTGTGTTGTTTCCATGGATTCAGAAGTCCACAGGTGACCGCTACAAATGCCCAAGTTGATGTCAAGAAATATGAGCTCAGCAAGTGGAAATATGCTGAATTACGGGATGCCATCAATACATCCTGTGGTAGGAAAGCTTTTATTTGTTTTTTTTTTTTCTATCAGTAAATTTGAACAGAATTTGTTTGCTTTTATTTGTTCCTGCTTTTCAATGGAAAACAATTTTATGACCGGTCCAAACCATAAATTAAATTGCTTCTGTTTGCATTCTTAGCCAATTTCATACAGATTTTCTCTTTAGAAATCATATTATAAGTGTAACAAGTCAAGTAAATAGAGTATTTCTTTTTGGTATGTCCCCATTTTGCACTCAATCTGGCCTGAACAAAACCTGATCTGAGCATCTTTTGGCATCTTGTGTTGCTCAATATCATAAATTAGCTTGATTCACTTGATTATTAACCTTAACATCTGAAGATTTTACCTGTTGTATTAAACGTTCCAAAATCAGTCTTAGATAATCCGCTGAAAACTCGTTTCTGTGCTTTATTGCTTTGGTGAGTAACTTTATTCTGAGTTATGATAATGTAAATGTGTTTCTCCGTGTAGATATCGAGTTGTTGGCTGCGTGTCGTGAGGAGTTTCACCGCAGACTGAAGGTGTATCACGCGTGGAAGTCAAAGAACAAGAAACGCAACACTCAGGACGAGCAGAGGGCGCCGAAAGCCATCACAGACTACGGTGAGAAATCCCACAAATCCCAGCGGGAAACTCATTTCACGTTGTGGGCAGAAATCAATTTTTGTCGGTGTTTTTTGTTTTTTGTAATAGTCGATATAATTGAAAGCAAAGCCTTCATCGGTAAGTGTGGACAAAACACTAAAAAGTTAACACAACTAAAAGGTCTAATAAAATGAAAAGAGCCTAACTCACTTATTTAGAAAACAATATTTACTATAAATAAAATATCCCTCTTTCCCTGCTGCTTTCCTAACTATTTGTAAAATGTTTACACTACTGGTCACCAAAGCTGCCATTTATTCAATTGAAAATACAGTTAAAAACAGTAGTATTGTTTTCATGTAATGTTTTTATGTAATTTATTCCTGTGATCAAAGCTGTATTTTCAGTACAGCAGTCTTCAGTGTCCCATGATCCTACAGAAATCATTCTGATATGATGATCTGAGGCTCAGGAAACATTTCTGAATATTATCAATGTTGAAAAAGGTTGTGCTGCTTCATATTTTGAAGGATTCTTTTAATAAATACAAAGTTCAAAAGAACATTTTATTTGAATTTTTTGTTTGTAACAAACATTTTTAATATCTAACATTTCCTAAAATCAGTATTAATTTCCCACTGCCTTAACAAAGTAAAAATATCTGTCCCCGTTAAATCAGTTTATCTGCCGTTGATATGAATTTAGGTGAATATGAGGGAATGCTAATGTTTGGCTTTATTGATGTGTATAGACTTCTAGATTTGCTAGGTCTGATTTTGGACTCAGGTCTGATGTTTCTTTTGTTCC